CCTGACCCCTTAATCAATAGGGGTCATCTACTAAGACCAATGCACCTATGCCGTTTGAGGGCCAAGGGCCTATAGATTGTCAAGTTTATGATCGGAACCTTTTTAGCCTATAGAGTAAATGTTACCTTGAACTTTGCCACTTGACCCTAAATTCAATAGGGATCATTAACTTTCAAGACCAATACACCTTCAAATTTTGAGGGCCAACAGAGCATGGATTGTCAAGTTATTGGTTGGTAACCTTTTTACCTACACAGTCAGTGTGACTTTGACCTTTGACCCTTAAATCAATAGAAGTCATCTACTTGCCAAGATCAATGCACCTATGCTAGTTGAGAGCGAAGGGCCTATTAGTAGGCAAGTTATTGATCTGAAACTAGTTTTACTTATAAGGACAATACAACTTCGACCTATGAGCTTTTGACCCCAAAAGACAAAGTAATTTACATTCGGGTCCGAACTATAACTTTGTCATGCATAGAAGAGTTTTCAAATAGTTTGGCACAAATGTCTACCACATCAAGATGACATGTTGTGTGTAAGACCCATAAAATGAATAATGAATATAATCTCCAATTGTGATAGCATGAAATTTGGACGCGACACATCGTCTTGATGTGGTAGACATTTATGCCAAATTATTCTGAAAATCCGTCGATGCATGACAAAGTTATAGTCCGGACACGAATATGTGTACCTATAAACTCTTATTGTGATGAAGTGAATCTTCAAAATGTTGACGTGATACATCGCCTTGATGTAGTAGACATTTATGCCGATATATTCTAAAATCCGTGGATGCATGACAAAGGTTGCAGCCCGGACACAAATGAGTGTACTTATTTACTCTTATTGTGATTATGTGAAACTTCAAAATGTAAGTGTGACCTAAACCTTTGATGTAGGGACGTGGTTTGCTTAAATTTAAGCTAAATAAAAGCAAACAATCTTTCTGACCATTTAGAATATTTGGGCTGTTTATGTTACCTCTGGAGACTTAGCAAGGTTTTTGAATAGTCGAGCTGTGTCACCTTATTTTTTACACGCAGTCACCCACACTCGAACCAGACATAACATTCAGCTAAACAAATTGTCTTACCATTTTTCAAAATATTAAGGCGGAAAATTGATATATCTGTGTAAACATAATCGTTTGGCCACATTATTTCGTGGAAAATACAAATGTTACTTCTATGTAAATTGAATAAAATTTAAACAAATATGTAGATGTTTTAGACCCATTTTGGTTGGGACGGTAGCTTAAACCCAATATTATCCTTTTTAAACTTAAGCTGAACAACTTATATTGACAAATTGGCAGGATATTTGGGCTGACTAGAACTGCCACTGTCATGGCGTGAATACCCTGCATAATGTTTTGTCAGAATCAACAGTGGTCATTTAGAGCTCAAGAACAACCTTCCTGCCAAATCTGAGGGAAGTAAGCCAGTGCATTGCTCATTTATGTATTTTACACGTTTTAGAAGAAATTTCCAAAGTGACCTTTACCTTTGACCTACTGAACTACTGACCTCAAAACTGAAACTGCCAAGTCATTACTTACAAACGCCACCCAAATTCATGCATCTTTGTCCTGTCGTGTTTTATGATGAATATATGAGAACATTATTATATAATTGTTTAGCATTATGGCATTGACCTCTGACCTAGTGACCTAATATCAATAGAGGGCATGTACTAGTCAAAACAAACCTGAATACTAAATATATGAAGACTGTTGACCAAAACATTCTAAAGCCATTGAGTAGACAAGCTTTGCACTAATGACCTTGACCTTTGAACTAGTGTCTTCAAAAGCAGTATTGGTCACCTAATTGTCATGACCAACGACCATACCAAATATGAAACTGTGGGTCATAGGAATCGTAAGTAATTGAGCGAACACGATTTTAGTCCTGGCCTATTCCTTGACATTTGACCCAGTTACCTCAAGATCAATAGGGGCCATTTAATTATCATGTCTTATCTCCATGTCAAATATGAAGACTGTGAGTCAAAAGATTATTGGGCGGACAAGCGTCTTAAGTCAAGGCCCCTATGACAATGACCTTTGACATAGTTACCTAAAAATGAAACGGGGTCATCTACTAACCATGGCCGATATCATTACCGAATGTGAAGACTGTGAGGCAAAGGATTCTTAAATCATTGGGCGGACCATGAAAATCCGACGACTGCCAGACAGCCGGACAGACAAACTGATTCCAGTATACCCCCCTACAACTTTGTTGTGCGGAAGTATGAACATGTTTCCTCTAGGTTTTTTCCAATTTTAGCTGTCTGACCTAAATGTTGACCCCCAGATCACCCATATTCAAACTTGACCCATTAATCATTCAAGCAATCTTTCTGACTAATTGCCAATTTGTTTGACCCGAAATATTAACCTTTAGAGTGTTAACAAGGTGTTTCCATAATAAATATTCAAATATGAACGGGAAATAATCAAAGCAAGATTTCTATTTTGTTATTATAGCCACATAAAAGAGAGCAATGCCATGTAAGAGCTGTTGGAATGAACGAGTTACAGAGTAACAAACGTCCCCCACCTTAGGGAAGTATTAAATGAAGCATAAAATTGTGCTACATCAAAAAGATTGAGGTATGGTTTTTGTTTGTTTGTTTGTTTCATTTTACGCCTTTTTCAACAGTATTTCAGTCATATAGGCGGGTAGTTTCCTAACCATCGTTCCTGGAGAGTTACACCAGTACTAGACTACCTTCCTCCGCGCTAAACTACCAAAGCATCTCCCGGGGATCGAACCCACGCCAGAGAGGATCAGGACTTTAAGTCCAAAAGCATCTAACAGTTGAGTAAGACAGGCTGTCTTATCATGCCTAAACAGAACGTTTTAAGTAAGTTATTTCAAAATTGTTTGATGCGACAAACATATGGAGTCCATTTCTACATCCCCCTTTTTTCTTCCAAAAAGCAGGGAACAATTACCCTATACAAAGTTTATCTCTAATACTTTTGAAGTTATTCTCTGGATACGAAAACACAGACTATGATTCTTTTAATTGAAAGTGTGACCTTGTAAAACTGAACTCATAATGAACCCTATAACAGACTATATTAATATGTGCCTTGACCTTAGTGTAGGCGACTGGTTATTGCACATGACACAATATCCAATTATTGTGAACATTTGTGCCAAGTATTTACAAAATCCCTTGATCTGTAAGGAAGTTATAAACCGGACACAAAATATACCCTATAACAGACTATGTTAATCTTTGACCTCTATGTGTGATTTTGACTTTGAAGGTAGGGGTTAAGGTGTTGCGCATGACACATCATCTTATTATTTTGACTATGTGTGCCAAAGATTTCAAAATCTATTGATCTTTATAAGAAGTCAAAGACCTGACATAATATATATCCTTTAACAGACTATGTTAGTTTTTTTACCTCTAAGTGTGACCTTGAACTTGGAGGTAGGGATACAGATGTTGCGCATGACATATTAATGTGACTATTTGTGCCAAGTATTTTCAATATTCTTTGATGTATGAAAAAGTTATGGTGCGGACACAAAATATACCCTATAACAGACTATAATCTAATGTTAATGTGTGACCTTGACTTGGAGGTAGGTGACCGGTTGTTGCGCATGACACATTATCTCATTATTGTGAACAATCGTGGCAAGTATTTACAAAATTCCTTCAAAGAAAAGAAAGTTATGGACCGGATACGAAATATACACTCAAATAGACAATGTTGACCTTGAATGAGGAACTGCCACCTTGACCTTTGAGGTAGGGGTCTGGTTGTTGCGCATGGCACATCGTCTTATTAAAACAAACATTTGTGCCAATTTATTTCAAATTTTATTGATAAATGACAAAGTAATGAAGCAGACACGAAGATGTGACGGACGAACAGACGGACAGACAGAGGACGGAAGGATGGAGCCTATTTCTATATCCCCCTTTTTCTTCGAAAAGGCGGGGACAATAAGAAATGAATGCACATTTTGTAATGATTACATATAATGTCTATAAACATTTGCAGTCCATATTTTACATATCCTTGGATGTTTAAAAATCGTTTTAGAAGCATAGTTATATGCATATATAAAATTCACTCAAACGTGGTTACATACTTAACTCTACTTTAACTCATCTTACAATAATTTACAAGTCTCAGAAAATTGTTTCCGCCAATTTTGACTCAGGGCTATAATTTGTCAACACACATGGTTAGACACCTGTACGCGTGTTTAAAGGCAAATATTTTGCTTTATGATTATACAAAAATTTAGATGACTTTTAAAACATTGTCAATTATACATTCAATACCTTAAGCTCCTCATGTTCCTCTTCAGCAGCAACATTTTCTGACATTTCATCCTTGCTTTCAGAAGTTATAACGAAATCCTTCTTCTTAAGCTAAAGAAAGAAAAATCATTATGTGATTGATAATATTGTGTACATACATGCGTGCCTGCATGTGTGCGTGCATGCATGTGTGTGTGTTAATACTGAATTTTAACATTATCACAAGTTTCTTTTGTTTAAATTATCATACTTTTTATGCAGACTTTTAAAGTACTGTAACATTTAGACATTTTATTAAAATCTAGTTTTGAATGAAGATAATCATTTTCTGAGATTATTTAATTGTTGTATAACTATTATGTTATTTGTTAATATTGCGACAATATATTTTAATGTATTGTAGATTAGAACATACATGTGCAATACTTGTTTTCAATAAAAGTTTGAAATGTCATTACATAATAAACGCCCAAGTGATATTGATTATGATTATGCAAGCTGATTGTTTAAGATATTTGATAATTTTTTAATCATTTGTATCTAATCAAAAGTCAGGAAGCACAAAATTAGTATTAAATATTCGTTTTACATTCGCTCGGTACAGATTACAGTACACTTTTGAAATACGGTGTGTGATATAAAGTTCACTTATTGTCAGTACTGATATTTTGTTTTTCAATTTGCAAACAAACTGTAGCCTCTGAAGGAGGAAATATAGCAAAAAGATCAGAAAACGGAGAAAACAGAAACAAATGCCGACAACTGAGAATAGAATATATCCACACAATTTATATAATTTTCAATTTCAATTCTCTTTATCATGTATGGTACAAAGCAGAAAATATCAATAGGGACAGCTTTCCGCCTTCAGTCTAAAATATTTATTAATAACAGTAGCTGGTAAAAGTTAGCAGCAGCTAAGTCATGGTTCTGGTGAAGAACGTGCTCAGGACATTTCAGAGGAAATATAACATGTTGAGGGGAAAATATACCTATTTTGGGCTAAGGGAAACAGCCTTTATTGGCTAGGTAAGATACAGGAAAAGCATAACTGCTCAGATATATGCGACGCGCTCAGCAAGTTTTAGATCTTTGTGAGAGAAAACGCTAGCAGAGTCATTTAGTTTATATAATATTCATTCGTGGATTTGATTTAATCTTTAGTAGAAAATTGTCTCAAAATCATATAACTACTACACAAAACGATGCATATAATAAATTATTACTTTGTCATTTAAAAGCTATTGTAAAATGTATTATTTTTTTTTTTTGAAAATTGAAAATCTATTTTTTTTAATGTATTGAAATGCTGTTCAGCTATTTTAAAAAAATAGAAGTCTAGAATGTACATTTTGAGGATCACAGATCTATATTATTTTTTCTTACACTTTTTCTTTACTGAAACTAACAATTTTAAACTATAATATGTTTTTGTTTGTTTTTATATTATTTTTAAAGTTTTTATTTCAGTTCATTAGTATTTAATAGCTTACAGCTTTTGATTTTTAAATTTTTCTGTAATTCATTCACATTAATCACTTTATTTTCTTTTAAGTATGAATGTGAAGGTGTGTTTATTTAAAATAATTATAAGATTTCTTATAATTCAAGTTATAATTTATTATGTATACTTACTTCTTGAAGTTTAAGGACAGCTTGCTGTGCATCTTGTCGATGTACAATTTCCTTTCCATCTTGTAGAACAGCTATCATATCCTCAATGTAAGTATTAGCCTTGCTTTCCTCTAATTCCATACTTGTTGAGTGTAAAATGTCATTTCTATACTGTCTTACCTATTAAATGAAAAACATATCTAAGACTAACTTGCACACATAAATGTTCAGGAATGAGAATAACAAGAATATAAAGATAAGAGGGCAATAACTCCAAAATTAGGGAAAGCAGAACTATGGTTCATTTGCACTACACTTTTACCAAATGGGATCTAACTACCTACAAAATTTCTTGTTGGTATTTCCTGTAACGTCAGAGTTATGTAACATCATTACACATTTGTGAAAAAAGTTAAAGGGGTTTATCATTTTTAATTAAAGTTAAATAGACATTGTTTTTTATGCTTTTGATGATGAATATACAAAGCAATTATCTTATAATGAAGCTCAAAAATCTACAATCTAACATCAGCACTGCAAAGGGTGAGCAAAAAATGCCGGCATAAATTAATCAAGAATATTTTTTTTTTCACTTAGAGAAAAAAAAATCCACTGAATTAAAAGTACATAATAATAATAATATACAAATGGATTTACCTTTGAAAAAAGATTGTTTGGTCCTGTAACATTGCATCCAATACGATTATGATTTCTTTGTTATTTATTATAACATATAGTAAATCAGTACAAGGTGTGTCCGCTGCCGATGATATATCCTTGCATTAGCCTCATAGTTATATGGACATAATTTCACCAAGTGCAGTAATGGGATGACTCTTATCAAAACTCAATAACAGTTATTCAATAACTGCACTAAGGTGACAATAATCTCTTTTACTTTTATACTCAATTCACATTTTACTGTTGTAAAGCTTTATGTTCTACAAATTGAACTTAAACATATAGTATACAAGTGGAGTTACCTTTGAAAAAAGATTGTTTGGTCCTGTAACATTGCATCCAAAATGGTTATGAAAGTACTTGTTATTTATGATAACATTTAGCAACCCAATTAATTCAGTGTCGACTGCTGATGTCTTGTCTTTGCACCCAGGAACATTTATAAAACATTTACACACGCTCCATGGGTCTGTTGACCACTGTTGACTATCACTATTTCTCCAAAAAGGTGCTGGTGGTGTTGATGCATGATACTGTATAATGCTGTCATAGATGGCACCACATATGTTGTTTGGACAGCGTTTCGTTTTTTTTGGAAAACAACAGTTACAATTTTTTTGTAGTAGGGGACATATCCCTTTTGAGACTGGGACATGATCTGGCTGGAGAGTTGTTATCTGACAGGCGCCGCATGGAACGTTTGGTTGAGGAGTCTTTGTTTGTTGTATTTTGTTTATAATATCGTTGTGTTGCTGTTTTCCTATGTCATCACAAAATGGCGCAAGCCCTTCTTGAAGATAGCGAAGGCCTAGGCCTGCCTTGACCCACTGTCGGTATTTGTTGTTCTTTAAATGTGTCTCATGTGCCATCTCGATTTCTAGAAAAAAGGTTATATTTTTTTATTACATTTTGTAAGAATCCAAGGTAACGAAACTTTAAATAAAAATGAACACAAACAGTTACAGGTCCTGCAAGCTGGCCGAAAAAGGACTGTGACCTCTGCCTAACAATGAAGGTGTGGCTACTTTAACATGTAGCTCATATTGGCCCCCAATCACTCACATATGAGAATCATCAAAACAACCAGAATAACAAGTTGTGTAACAAATAACAGTTGTCCCTAAAATAATGTTGGAGGTGGAAAGGATGTTATGGTTGGAAAAGTATTTAACAATTGGAGAGTGATCTATGTGTTCCATAACCTTACATGAAACACATGTTAGGGAATTTTGCCTATAGTTGACAGGTACTGACTTATCTGCATATTGCATTTCTTGAGGATTAGGATTACATGGTTTATTGAAACGATTGTCAAACTTTGGTAATTGTGCTTGGCATGTTGTCAATATCTTGTTTCATATTGCATATATTTTATTTCGGTAAACATATTTACATTACTTAGGTTACATTACTTACAAGACATATATCCCAATTTCTCAAATCTTTCGAAAATATTATTTTTAAAGGTTTTTTTTTTCAATTCACAGGGCATGTGAAATAACGAACACTTCTTAATCATAATATCATTGAACGACATTTAATAGTTTAATCCTTTAAAAACTATAACACATGCATAGCTTACCTGTGGAACTGGTCATCTGCAATGACAAATGATTTTATTTAACCAATCTAGGAAGGACCGCTAAAGACTTCTAAGGAGGCACAGAGGGCTGCTGAGAAGGTACAAAGGACGTTTATATACCTCCTAGGGAATTTTTATAACATATTTCATTATGTTAAATGATAAAAAATGTATAATTTAAAGAAAAAAATAATTCTGGTCATATAACTAATGCTTTTGATGAGTTGCAGCACCCTGAAGGACTGCTTAGGGGCACAAACGACCGCTAGAGAGTCACAAAGGACATTAAAATACCTCCTAGGCCATTCTTATATATTTCAGTAAGTTTAGTGATAAAAAATACATCATCTTGAGAAAAAGAAAAATTTTGGTGATATAAAAATCATCTTGAGAAAAAGAAAAATTTTGGTGATATAAAATAATGATTATTTCGATTGTTTGATGAGCTGCAGGACCGCTTAGGACTGTTAAGGAGGCACAAATGACCTAAAATTACATCCTCATTCATTCTTATAACATATTTCAGTAAGTTTAGTAATCAAAAATGTATTATTTTAAGAATAAATATAAATTTGGTGATAGAATTTATGCTTTGGATGAGTTGCAGGATTGCTTAGAACTGCTATGAGGGCACACATCACTTCTAAGAAGGCACAAAAGGACCTTAAAAATACCTCCTAAGGCATTCTTACTTCCCTATCAAATATTACTCTATGACATTTGTTTAAGATGGTGAAACATTACTTAATACAGTGAAAATGTAACATTTATATAAGTGTTTTCAACATAAATAAATATAACATAATTAGAAGCAATTTGCGTCGAGTCAATACAAACAGTGGTATCAAACTAACAACATGTCCTAGACATCAAAACAAAACAAAAAACAAAACAAAAAGACAAAAACAAAAAAAAACAACTAAAAACAAAAAACATAATAAAATTCAGTATTTTGATGTAAATTAGACTGCTTACAAATAGTCGTAACTAGGGTTTCTTAATCGGACAAAACTCATAATCGATCATCGAAAATAATTGAACCACCCTTTTCGATCAATCATCGATTATATAATCGAAACATTTACAATTACAAAGTAAATATGTACAATGTTCATATCATGCTTAAATATTTATAAGAATTCAATTTCTATGTAACCACCACTTTATCAACTGAAATAAATTAGTTTAAAGATATACTATGCTCATCCTTGAGTTAAATATTTTTATCAAAAAAATTCATTAAAATCTATTAAATTATTATGTCTCACTTCCAAAAAGCAATGAATAAACTATGTATGGGAACAAGTTCAGTTGGTTACCTTTCTTAACAAAACTGCCAGTTTTTTTTTAATGACACTATATATTGATATTGCAACCACCTTTAGTGTGTAGATTAATTTTATACATAACATATCTTCTTTGTGTGAAGTCAAAACATATTTATTTTATATTTACAAATAGACTGTGTAGCAATTTTTAATATTCTCTAATGTCAAATTTGAGCATAGTATACCTTTAAACTAGCATGCCTCACTGTCAACTATTAACTACATGGTCACCAATACTTTCATATTCAATTGAATGAAAATTATTGTTTCAACCAAAACTGGCTTTAATTTAGTGTTGTTATAATACAGTAACAGTGAGTTACTTAAGTAACAGAAAGAAAATAAATTACCGATAATCGATTATTAAACTTTGTAATCGATCATCACTGATCGGTTCTATAAACGATCAATTTTCGATTATACTCGATCATCGTTTAATCCCTAGTCGTAACAATAACTAGTCTTGCTTAAAATTCATCCTGTATATTTCAGAAGTTGGGCAAATACGCTTGATAAAGGGTTTAAATATCACATCCAGACAAAAATAATACTTTATAAAATATAAGTCATGTTTGGTATCTTCTGTCTGTCACGGATATGACTTTCATAGAACGCAAAACGAATATAATTGATAATTTTTTTATTAATGGACAAATTTAACGATTTTTTGCATGTAATATCATTTTATTATTATAAAACATCGTATCAAGAGTAACATAATGAAAAGAAATTACTTGAAGTTGTAAAAGATAAGTCATATCAGATACTTAAAGTCATATCCGCGGATATGAATCATATCCGGTATTAAGTCATGCCAACTGGGACGTGTGCTACATTATTTTTCCTATTGAAATAATCCTACTCTTATTCATTTTTTAAATGTAACTAGCAAGAACAAACACTGGTTTAACAACGATTTGATTAATTATCATGTTTGCTTTTTTTTGTAAACATTTCTAGCCCGATGGGTTTAAAACTTTTATAAAATTTCCTACTTTCGTTTTCAATATAGCTATAAACTTTGGTTTTTGTCCTTGGCACTCTATTTATTTATAGTTTCATATTTTGCGTATTTAATTTCAGTATAAAATATTTTACTTAAAGGTTACATACTCACAAGATATTTATCCAAAGTTCCTCAAGTCTTGCGAAAATATTATCCTGCATTTAACCATCCTGTAGCCCGGGTCTCCACGATTCCGGTGTACATATTTTATACAAGGTGTTTTTCATATAAAATTTTACTAACTTGATAAAAAGAAGGGATAAACAACTTCATTAACATTTAATCCTCTTAAAAATGCATTACAGAGTTCTGTTACTATGAAATTCTCGCTCACTACAAATGTAAACAATCATTTTATTATGGTCGACCATTTTGTATGACGTAGTTAAACAGACTTCATGCTACCGGTGCACTGGTAAAAATGTTATTTATATGGAAAGCCATTGCAGTTTTAATAGCAAAAATATCATTTTAGCATTCTTGTATTCATATCTAAAAAACAAACTTAAAAACAACATAAAAACATGTGTTTCAATAGTTTACTGTTCCTCTTTTATCACCCCAAGGGATCTCTGTATTAGAATCTTACACTCCCAATTACAGGTGTATATTTTACCATGTGACTGGATTCAAAAATGTCCCCCCTTCACCTAATTTTAGCGTTGTTGTGATTTTCTGGTCCTTTTATATCATTTAATCTATTTTATTTCTATATGATGAAGATTAAATATCAATATGGCACTTTACACAGTCTCCCTTAAAGGACTGAATGAAACTGACTTTTTAATTTTCACAAACTATTTTATATGCACTAATGGCTTTCCATAGATTATTTTTTCCCGCCAAAAATGATGTCAAAAGGTCAAGTGACATGCAATGGAGGTTGAATGACGTCACCACCTGTCATTTTTTTATTTTTTTGGAAAAAAAAGTGTTTTGTAGAGTGACCAATTTATGTAATGGAGGAATATGATAGTAAAATAGAAATAAGGTAGGATCTGTGAAATATTTCCTTCAGAAACTCATGAAAATGTTTAAAAACTTTGAAATAGCCACTATTACTGGGAGCATGTCAATATAAACACTCGGTAGGTTGCGTTAACAATAATATCGCGAGATATGTGAATATACCGGTACCATGGAGTCACCGGTATCATTGGGTTCGAGTATACTATATTTTACAGTCGCAACTGTTCGGCCCTTACCGTCAGTCTTCGGATAGAGTGAGACAGCATCACACTAAATACCGTATTCGGGTACATACCGGACAAGACACTTGAATGATAAAATGCTAAAATCTCGCCTTTTCACCTAACGGAATGAACTTTAAATCGTCTAATTCATCTTATCACACCGATTTATATACGATAAGGAATGGAAAATGTGATAATCGGCGAAAAAACATATTTGTCTCTTTTGTGATCATGATTTTTGCAAGCATCTAGAGGTATTGCTCGATGCATACAGGGACATATTAAGGTCAAGAGTGAGATTTGTCGCGCAAACACTAGAGTTAAGTCCCAAATAGTGTTATTACTACTGATCGATCAAAGATCGTCCACTGTATTCCTTTACATAATTCACATATATATCATGTGTATTATTGTTTGCACGTTTAGTGATGAACAATCTTGTTAAAATGTTGTTAAAGTGACATTATGCTCACCTTTTCCTTTTCACGGTGAATAGAATTGATATTATACTTCAAGAGATTGATTATGATAATGATTATTGATCAATAATTGAAAATGAAAAATGTTAAAGATAAAATATAAAAAATATCTTAATTATACAAAGACTGCAGCACTTTTTAAAAAAAAATGAACTCGCGTACTATTTACAATTTAAAATTGATGGAAACAATACTTTAAGATATGAAGTATTTTTTTCCATTCTCCCTCATATTCAATTGTGTGCCCTGACCTCCCCCATCCCCACCTTTCCTTAAACCACTTGTCTTTTTAATTGCCATATCGGCCTCTTTAATATCATTTTACTTATTACATGACCCTTCCTTCCTTTCACCGCTCTTGTTGCCTATCTCTTTTTTCTGCTTGGTGCCTCTAGGGAAGCGTGACCTGCTGGTGTGGCTGGAAAGTCTGTGGACTGCGTTTTGTTGATATGTATTCTTACTGTTTATGCAAGATTCCATAAGCCGGTTAAACAGAGTACTAGTCTGATTGTCGAAATTCTCAAAATTGAAAATGTTTAACGCTCAGTTTGGATAAAAGCGAAATTGCAAGCTGTGCTTCACGACCCTCAAGCACCGGCTTATGCCGAGTTAACCTATTAAATACGAAAATGGTGACATTTTGAATTATTAAAACAACCCCATATATGTTTATTAAAAGAGAATCACAAAGTGATGCTTAATGTAAAATGTGCAAGCTCTTAGTATGTGACACCAACGGTGGGTCCATTTTTACCCAAGAAGCATGACCTAAATAACTTGTGAAAATGTCTACTTGGTAATGTTACATGTCAAATATCCAAAATATATAAGCAATGGACACTGTTGTTTGATAAAATAAGACTTAAATGTATTTTCCTATACCAGTTTATATGAACTGAATGATCCCAAGCGGACGCGTTTTTGAATAGTTTTATAGACCTTTTGTGGAAAAACTTAAGTTGACGTCAAATGTCAAATATTTAATTTTATTACCAATTGTTTACTATCACTTGAGCTGTCAACATTGAAAGATACACATCTGTACCCTATTATTATTATTTTAATACCGATTAAACGATTCAGTATTAACAACGAAAGGCTGCTTGTATTGAAAAGGTAAACCATTTTACTTAATTTTTAACAAATTTTACACTGATCGACAATTCATTGCACAATCAGATACAAAACATTACTGTTTCCCTTTAACTTAACCTCTAGCCATTAATACTAATACACTGACTGCTGGAGCGGAACGTTTACTTGCTGTGGTTTAACACTTTACTTATTACGTATTCAAATATACCTTGAAACCTTGAAACCTACACAGGGTTACAGTTTATTTACGAAAGTTAAAACGGCAGACGACAAGGTTATTGGGTTTAAAAAATTAAACAAGCCTGTGTGTATATTTACATTATTTACAAATAATGATATAGCTTAACAATACGTTATTGTTTGATTTTATTAACCTGTCAATTCCATACTCATTATACGGTCAATGCACAGAATATATTAATATTCAATATATGTTCCGTAAATTCCGTGAGAGGTACGCAGTAATGTGAGTAAATTCATCTAGTTTCTATGTATTATAGTTACACTGATTGTTATAGCGAAATAGGGTAAACCACGGGTATATAATATCAAAATGTCCTACATGTTGACAGATCGAGACAGTGCATGTCCAGGGTTTTTTTCTTATTTATAACTTTTTTCAAAAATGTTGAAGTTATGGTTGTTCTGTTTTTAATATGTTTTGTACTCTTTTGTAAATACATGTAACTATATTTTTGTATATAATTGATACTGAAAATTCATTCGGATTATAATCAATAAATGTTATTTCAGTACCGTAAAATACAATACAAAATGTGACAATTCAGTGTTCCTTAGTTGTTTCATGTCCGTGTAGACAATTTTGCAAGCGCTTGACAATTTTCTTTAAAATATACCTAAAATAAAGAGAGAATAAGTCTAAAAAGAATGTCAAAAGAAGGGATCGAACCTCATACCTCTCATACATTAGGTAATTACTTAACCGACTGTGCTATTGCGGATGTTACGAGAACTAAAATTGAGCTAGTGGGAGTTTTCCAAACGTTAGTGATATACTCCATAATAATCCTCGTAAAATAAACGGACAAAACCGAAGTGTGATCGAATATTTAAATGAGTGCTATAATGTATTCATTATTGACAGGGCAATAAAATCAGACTATACACTTAATGTACATAGAAGTAAGGCTGAGATAGTAAACCTTAAAGATGTTAACGACATGTATTAAGTAAACTGCACAGTTAACCATTATCACTTGTATTTATCAAGCTGTTAAATTAACGCAGATAATCTTTCCATTTCAAAAAAAAAATGTTTATTACTGAACGGGTCACAGCTTCTTAACAATTTCTCCAAATTCCACTTTTGATCGGCATTAATGCTTAATATTTTTTTGAGTTCACTATGAAAGAAAGTTACTTTAATGTCCTCGTCTTGTAGATGTCGCAGTTGGTATATTGGAAATGTACCTCTGTGATATCGTTAATGAACTTTTAACAATTCACCGGAGTATGTTTGATCGTCCTCTCGGAGAAACACATTTTTTAGATTACTGGTACGGACGTAGGTGCAAATTTTAAATTTGAACAGTTTGACCGCTTTTCCATGCTTAGATTTTTGAGCAAAATATATTGTTAATTTTACTTGATGATTTGTGTCCATAACATCGACGGGTCTCATTCCGATAGTTCTTTGATACGTTTGGTAATAATTTTCAGTTTTTTTCTTGTAAACCGGTAGAAGGTGATCGTGTCCTTCCTTATACGATACATAACGCATCAGTCGGGTCTTTATCATATAAAAATGGCCCTCTCTGACGCCTTTGTTTAATTTTGGGTAGGAAAGTAGTGAATGACTTTTTTCTTCATGAGTGCTAGGACGTCTCTGGCTTAACCCCCTGACCTGAAAATATATTTGCTTGTGTAGTATGTTTTGACTAACAGACCGGCAATTTAAGTAATTTCAGAAAACAAAATGCAAATACAAGACTGTAAAATAATAACACATTTAAAGGAATTCAATCAACTTCCCTTTATCAGTAACAGTTAAGAAGGCGTATATTATCCGGAAAGTTTTAGCCATCTTTTTGCCAGTTTTATATTTTCAAGTTTCATATTTAAATACCTGCAACCACACATACTTCGAGAATGTATATATAACCGGCATTATTTACTTGTAGTACTGGTTCCAGACAGCAAACTAAACCATATCAATCAAATCAGCCATCCATAAATCGTTTTTACCGGCGCTTATTACATGGTTTCTTTGAAACTGTCTTCTCACTGGCTTATAAAGGCTGCAGGATTATTGATCTTGTAATCATTTTATGCACTGCTGAGAGTCAAAAGTAAAATTGAAGTTGAGTCAAGAGGTAAAGTCTATTTATTCACTAAACATTTTCCTCTTCACTTTTTTCCTCATCAATTTCCTCCTCTTCTCACTTAATTAAGTTTCAAATAACTCAAATAAAACTTAAACTTCTGTTCTTTTTAATACTTTATTTACGGCTAGCGTTATGTTGAGACCTTTTGAAATCAATTTTTTAATCAGAGTCATAATGTTTTGTGCAGTTCATTGTGATTAAGTGGCAATATAAACTTGTCAATGAACGGTGAATAATTATTTAAAAACACATGTTTTTCATTGTGAGGCTGAATGCGCTCCTCTGCCAATTCTTGTGCTTCATCACTCACTTCTCCGTCATTAAATCAATCAATGGGTTGTACATATTTCCAATTTTTCATCATTTGATTTTCTGGCTCTTTTCCATAATTCTACATTATCTTCTACATAATCGTATTGCTTGATATCGCTCATTTCTTCCTGTTTTCGTTTCTTTTCGTCCCTGTGTTCGAAGCACTAGTCGTTTTTACATGTCTTTGCACGTCGTGGACAGTGTCAAATAATTGACCACCATCATCACAAGCGTGTCCTTTAGGTTCCATTGATTAAACAAATAGATTAGTAGGTGTAATAGCCCGCTTTAGACAAGATAAAAGTGCACTTAATGCCGATATCAAAGCAATAATTCACCAAATACGCGTGATTGAACGTAATTGTGATGCCCTTCGAGTTTAATGGTGGCCAAATTGGGACATGACTTGAATTCCAGATACATATTGTAAGCAAGTTAACAATTTTGGTGCACTATCAGCTTATGGATTGAAAAGGATTGCTGAGGATCACACGCACTTGTTCGAAACGAAAGTCGTAACAACAATTCAACAAAACTTATACGTTGATGATTGTTTAAAGTCAGTAGACACTGAACAGGAGGCAATTGATTTAGTTCGTGGTTGATTATGAGTATAGTTGGTTTTCGACTTAGTGGATCATTAATAGCAGAGCCGTTCTTGCAACTATTCCTGATAATGACAGAGCGCAGTTCGTAGTTAACCTTGCGCCAGATGATATATTACCCTGTAACATAGCTTTGGGCGTTATCTGGAATATAGAAGACGACACATTTATAT